GACTTTTAAAAAAACAGCCACTCACCTGCCCCACGATCCTGCATTGCCCCCGCCGCAGCCTGTTTCACTGGCCGTCCTGTATTCCAGGCGCCGGCATCTTTAGTGTGGGCACCCGGCTTGCGGCTTCACAGCTGGGTGCCCAATGCGCATGCGTGAGTAGCGCTGCACTTCCTGAATGGCCCCGTAGTCTTCTGGGACCTGTCACGTGTCCCACAAGACTTCAGGGAGGGAAGCAAGAAGGACAATTTCCGTTTCCAATCGCCTAGGCGATCACAGTGGAAGTGGGAGCGGGTACCTGTCAAATTCTGGTACCCGACCTCCCCACTGCTCCCCAAAAGTGCCAATCCTTAATGGGGAAAGGGGGACCAATCTTTAAAGCGGAACTTACCCTTTTTGGTGGAACTCCGCTTTAACATCTGCTGGTCTTGATTCTGTCATTTTATTTTTGTGTTTATTCAGTGATCAATTTTCTTCTTCACTCTTTTTATTGAACTTCACTACAAAAAAAGTATACAGACTCACTGATCTCCAGGCTACTAAACTTTTCAGTAATACATTGCAAAAATAGTTAAAATGTTTGCAGACCCAGCATTTCATAAACATTATACTGTTTTCCCAATCAACTCCTTATACAGTGTGGGGGGGCTCACTTTTTTCACAATAACATTGATATTCTACATATAAAATGTACACAATTTTCTAAATCAAGACTGGCTTGTGACCATACAAAGAAGTCAACTGTTCTCCAGAATTGTGGACAAAAAGTGTTATCAACCACAGTTGGATACTGTAAACTGAACTGCTTGTGCTTTATTCGGAGTGTATTCTCAATTTATTCCCATTAGGGAGCCACTGAGCACTGGTGACACCAGCATAATGGTGCCATTTCTTAAAATGAGACAACACCATCACTATGTATAGTCCAGTGTTGAGATGTTGCATCTGCACACGTTTGTCATTTGTAATTTTTCAGGCAGCTGGCCACTGAAACCTAGTGTGGGATGGGTGCACAAATATAGACAAATAACTAAATTTTTGGTCTGTACAGATTCTAAATGTATTCAGTGCTGACCCTATCATACAAAGCTTTTATAGGAAATGGCTCAGTGTCAGAATTTGATGGTGCCACTGCACCCTCTGCTGGTTATCTGTATATTTGCTTGTATTTAGATAGAGATTATGAAAATGTTTTTCTGTATCTTGAATCCGTATGAAATCTCTTTACTTGAATGCAGTTTACCTTGTACATATACATATTAATTGCTTCTGCGACAAAATCCAAGAACCTATCAGATATCACTCACAGAATATAATTTCTTTCTTTACAAACATATTATTGGGTGATGTATGTAAGATCAAACAGCGCAAATCCCCAATTGGCTGAAGTCACAGAGCTGCAAGAATATAAGAGGATATCATCTCTTAAAAGGCTAATGCAAATGAATACTACGCTAGGTGAACCCTTAAAACTTTGTGAGCACTATAGAGACCTTCACACCTCTGAAAAGCGATCAAAAATTGAAAATAAAGCACTGTAATAAACTAAATAAGTGCATACATATGCCCTATGAAGACCCTCACACCTCTGAAGGGCGATCAAAATTAAAAAAAAAATTGAATAAATTGAGTGAGTACAATAATCATAAATACATATAAGAAAGCATGATATGTGGTCAAATTAACCTATAATGCATTATCTATGAACCCTATGAAGAGTGATCGAGGTTGAGGATAGGTCAAATCTCAATAGACATAAACCATAGTCCATAAGTATGAGAAGAAAATTCGATGGTATTACTGTAGACAATACTGTAAATGCATATAAGCTTGCTTCAACTGGTCAGCAGAGTGTACACCACCACCAAAGTAACGAATGGAGGTTTACCAGAAATGGAGACCCCTTAATTACAGGGGTCCCAACCAGCTTTTTAAAGTAAAGCACTGGCAGGCTTCCCGTATCACGCCCCAAAGCATGGAACTTCCCGGACTCCAATTCGAATGTAAACTCAAAGTGTAGTGCCAGACAAGGTCATGAAAGAAAAAACATGCCTCTCATAGTGCAATACATATCAAAAATTTCTTTAATTGCACAAATAGGATCCTACTTACAAGCTGTAGAACAATTAAAAGCATTCACATGAACCATATCCAAGATGGCCAACAGCGCGATAATGTCAGAGGGAGGCTCTGCCCGACATGTTTCGTCATCAAAAGACGTCCTCTAGGGGTGTTATTTTCAATACTTTTTTTAAAATTTTGATCACCCTGCAGGTGTGTGAGGGTCTTCATAGGGCATATGTATGCACTTATTTAGTTTAATTATTACAGTGCTTTATTTAAAATTTTTGATCGCTTTTCAGAGGTGTTAAGGTCTCTATAGTGCTCACCTAGCGCAGTATTCATTTACATATTATTGGGTGATACCACACATAACCACATGCTACAAAGTGTATAAAAATGTTCAAGGGGTACAGTCTTGAACAAAGGAAAACATTTAGATGAAGCATGAAATAGTGTTGATAAAATAAAAATGAGCTCAGATGCATGGCATACATATATAAAAAAATATGAGAATAATAAACAATTAGCATTGCGATGCTAAGTGCGAGACCATGCCACCATGTAAAAGTAGGAGAAAGTGATACAGGGTTCACACATATGCTGAGTGCGGGACTCCAGAGTATCAAATATGAGTGACAAAAATGTTTTCTTACAGCTTTCTTTGGGGTTTTGGTGTTTCCCGGATTGAATTCTGAAATTTGGAGATTTCAAGGAGTTTTGGCAGGGAAGAAATCCCCAGCCCAGTGCCCAGGTCTTGCAGGAGACCAGCAGGCTGTGAGTGCAGGAGCACACACCCCTTATATTAAAAGACTTTGTTATAGCTCATGGTTCCTGTTAGGAGACAAGTGTGCTCCACTCAAGAGACAGCAATCCATGCAGGAAGAGAGATTATTTGTCCATAGAATTGAAAGAGTCAAGGCGGCTAAAGCAGGTCTGGAAGACAGAGAGTCATAACTGTAGTAGCAACTTTGGAAATACCAAGTAAAACTCCGGACATGAACTTGAGGAAAACAAACTTTTTATTAATCAGCGCTGAGTGACCCAGCAAGGGCTCATGCCAGCAAGCTAAGTGACTTGAAAAACATCTCACATATCAGCAATTACATCACAATACATATACAGTATGTCCTCTTTCACTTTCTGTACATTCAAAAGGCTTTCTAAGCAATTCAGAATATAGCCCTGCTAGATAATTTATCTTCAGCTACAGATAAGAATACCATGTACCAGGGGCAGACTGACCACTCGAGCACTCGGGCACTGCCCGAGGGCCCGGGGTCAGTAGGGGGCCCCATGAAATGCCACTGGTACCTTTTTATAGGCTTTTTTGGGTGTGCTTTGAGTGTAGGCAAGGACACAGGGGCCCCATGATCCCCTATTGCCCGGGGCCCCACGAGTTGTCAGTCCACCCCTGCCAGCTACAGACTGGAACACATTACTTCACAGGAGAGAAGGGAGTGGGGAAGTGAGCTGATGACCTTGCTTTTGCAAACAGAGGCTGTTAAAGTTTAAAGGGGAACTCTGCAATACTTGGGTGCTGCCACAGGACAACTAGAAGAGTCAAGGGGACTGAAGGAATCTGGAGGTCTCCAAGAAGTGAGAGAGCCTGGGATATAAGGAGAACCTCTACCGAGAGGACAGGGAGTGGGCCCAGGCAACAGGGTGCTGCAACTAATTCAACTGGAAAAGCCAGGAGAGCCAAGAGAAGGCTGCAACTGGAAACACAGAAGAAGGTGAAGAAGAAGCATGAGGCAATTTCATCTTGGAGGCACCATGGACAGCACAGATAGCCTTAAGAAAGGGTCCCTTAATAACTATTAACCCCCAAGAGCCCCTTATCCTCCTCCCTCCCTTAGGGCTTATTTACATTTGCAGTAGCCCTCTGAAGAGCATTGCACGGTATGTCACCTTCTCACTGCCTGTTTTAATCCCTAAAATCCTGCACTACAGCTCTGCGCCTGCTTGTATTGCATTATGGACAGTTTTTGCCACACATGTGGCCCATGTGTTTTGGGGGGAGGAAAAAATGCCTGTTTTTACCACCCTTGAACAACAAGTGTAAAAAAGGTCTTAGTGCTGAATCACATTGGCAGGTGTGGGGCAGTAAAAGTAGGTGACTGAACCATGGTTTTACCATCCTACAACCACCCAGTTAAACTAGGATATGCAGCCAAGCTATTGAGCATGTCGCATTCAGTGGGTGGTACGTTGGTGATTTCAAGTTTAAGAAAATCAAGAAGAGTCACAAGTTCCTGGAACTTCTAGTTGTCCCTGGTGGACTATCTGGAAAAGTCATATATTCTTCTGAATAAGGAAAGTTTTATAAGTTCAGGGCTGCAGTAAATCTCTCCTATTGAGATTAGGGTGTTTGTCTGATTCCTGGATGTGGACAATTTTAAAATATCACTAAAAGGCAACCATTTTTTTTTTATAGTTTTGGATAAAGAGGGATTAGAACATCTGTCAGTATTTATTGCTGTCTGTGCCCCCGCTAAGGAGATTCACCCTCTTTCTGTCCTGTTTACCATTATCATCAAAGGTGAAAGTAAAATAAAATCCCACATTTTAGGTTAACATTGAAACAAAAATAGAGGGGAAACCTTCCAGTGGGGACACTAGTTCTGGTGACATGCCAGAATTCCTTCACTTTGGCGGGATTTTGTCTCACTTCCTGTTTCAGCACAGAAAGTAAAGAGAAATCTCCCCAATGGGACACAAATGGCAAAAAAAAGGACAGAGGAGTTATAACTCTCCTTTGCTCTATACAAAATAAAAGAAATTGCCTTTAGTGACAAGTCTTTTAACACAGTCTGAGGACTGAGGGTCTAACTATTTGATTAACAGATCAAGTTCTTGAATAGGTGTAATGAAAAGGTCATTGACTACTGACTTTTTTGTGGACCTTCCGCTTCTGTAGTTCTGTGGGAAATTGTTGAACGCAGGGGCGGACTGACAACTCATGGGGCCCCCGGGCAATAGGGGATCATGGGGCCCCTGTGTCCTTGCCCAAACTCAAAAAAAGCCTATGAAAAAGGTACCAGGGGCATCTCATGGGGCCCCCTACTGACCCCGGGCCCTCGGGCAGTGCCCGAGTTTCCAAATGGTCAGTCTGCCCCTGGTTGAACGTCATGAACTTGGTATTAATAAGTTTTATTTGGGATACGTACTTAGCAAAGTCTGACTTGTCAGTTCTTGTCATGAAAGGTGCTTCTTCACCTCTCCTGGTGGAATTAATGTATACCCGATGTTTAGGTTTTGGAGGAGAGAATGGAATAGTAGATGGGTTAACCACTTCAATACCGGCACTTTTACCCCAGGCCAATTTTCAGGTCTCTGCGCTCTCACACTTTGAACGACAATTGAGGTGTCATGCAACACTGTACCCAAACTAAAATTTTATAATTTTAGTTATCACACAATATCACACAACTAGAGCTTTCTTTTGGTGGTATTTAATCACCACTGGGGTTTTTATTTTTTGCTAAATTAACAAAAAAAGACCACAAATGTTTAAAAAAAAAAAAACATGTTTCTTTGTTTCTGTTATAAAAGTTTGCAAATAAATAATTGTTCTTCATAAATTTAGGCCAAGATGTATTCTGCTACATTTCTTTGGTGAAAATTACCCAAATCAGTGTTTATTATTTAGTCTGTAGGAAAGTTATAGAGTTCACAAACTATGGGATATATCTGAATATTGATCAATCCTGAAAGTACTGACAGCCAGTCTAACTTCTTGAGGTCCAAAAATGTCAGAATAGTACAGATATCCCCAAATGACCCCTTTTTGCAAAGTAGACAGTCCGACATATTTCATAACAGGCATGGCGAGTTTTTTGAAGTTGAAATTTTGTTGTCATAATTTTTAGGAAAATGGAGAAATTAAAAATATTATTTTCACAATTTTTTTTTAACATACTGTCACCAGTGCAGTACAGCGTCATCATATAACTGGTGTGGCAGTGATCAGGGACACTGACTAGTGACAGTAAAAAAAAAAATCTATAATTTCTGTAATTTTTTGTATTTTTTTTTGTTACACTTTTTTCTCTTTTTTTAAGATTATTTTTTTCATATTACACTATGACCAAAGTAGTATAATGTTACCATAATAACATTGTACTACTTTGGGGAAGTGATCAGTATTTTTTTTTTTTTTCTTACACAATTTGATTGCTTATAGCAAAGAATTTCTTTGCTATAAGCAAGCATTTAACTGAATGAAATCGATTAATTCAGCTATTTTTAATGTGATTAGCTGTGATTGGCCACAGCTAATCACATGACACTTGCCCAGCCTGTGCATGTGATTGCTGTGACCATTCACAGCTAGACACACTTGTATACAATGGATGGCATGAAAGGAAGCCATCCATTACATACAACTGTCATGTGACCTGCTGTGATTGGTCACAGCAGGTCACATGGTACTGGCAATGGGTTCGGTACACAGATCTGTCATCAGCCGTGTCCGAGGTACACAGTGACAGATCTCGCCACAGAGGCACGCGCAAAGCACGTTTCAGGAAGGACGTCATATGACACCCTCCCGGAGGGACGAGAGATTAAGGCCAGGTTAAGCCTTGATATCTGGAGGTCTCTTTGTAAGGGTATCTAGAACCGCATGACCGGTTCCAGGAGATTTTGAGGTGATTTGCTGAGCTCAGGGGGTCTGCGATGATACATTAGTTTGCTACATAGGGTGATAGTAACTGGGAAGGTAGAAAAAATGCCAGAGGGACCTATGTTGTTGCTCACCGCGCAGCTTCCTCTGCTAGTGAATGTACTGTGGGTTGGTGAACAGGATTTGAAGTGTCCTGTGCAACTGTGTTGTTATGGCTTAGGATAAATTGCATGGGTCATCGGAGGCTATCAAAATAAGATGATCAACATCTTCGTCTACCATCGCAGTTGGATCCAAAACTTTGCGCTTAGGCGTATCTTCAGCTTACTTTTTCCAGGACTTTTAGCAAGGCATCTGCCTGTGCTCGTGCCTGAGCATCTTGTGCTTCTGTTTCCCAATCAATGCTATAAGCATCCAGCTTTGCCGATCTGTGTTTGATCAGCTGCCTTGGAGGGAAGGGAAAACGTGAGTCTAATAGACTCCTGGGGGTTTATTTACTAAAGCTGGAGAGTCCAAAATCAGACTCCCTTCTGCATAGAAACCAATCAGCTTCCAGGTTTCATTGCCAAAGCTTCATTGAACAAGCTGAGGTTAGAAGCTGATTGGTTTCTATGCAGAAGGGAGTCTGATTTTGGACTCTCCAGCTTTAGTAAATAAACCCCCTGATGTCTCAATTACAAATACCTGTCACTACCCAAAGCTATCACAATCGTGCTTGCTCACTTCTTTGTGATAGCAATAAAGTTAAATGAAAAAAAAAAGTGTAAAAAATGTTTTTAAACAAAATAAATGACAGTAATTTAAAAAACACACATATAAAACAGTGATTGCTCGATTGCTCCAGACATGTGAGTTATTGTGAACATTGGAGAGAGAGAAATAATTCTAAGGCCCCTAATTCAAAATAAACTCTAAACTGATAACCTGTAAAGGATTTTAAAGAGTCACCTATGGACAATTGTAAGTACTGTAGATTGACGCCATTTCATAGGCATGGGCAGTTCTAATTCTTGACATGTTTGGTATCTATTTACGCGATGCAAAGTCTTTCTATATATTTTACAAAACAGTTTTTACGTAATGGTAAATGGCGAATAGTAAAGTGAATGTAAATCATATTTGGTCCCAGAGCATTTTTCCGTTTTGGCGATGTCTATCCTAATTTATTTTTTTTTCAGGACAGATAGGGGTTGATTTACTAAAGACAAATAGACTGTGCACTTTGAAAAGTACAATTGCACTCTGTAAGTGCATTTGCTCCAGAGCTTAGTAAATGAGGCAAAGCTTCCCTTTGCCAAGAATACCTGATCACATGCAAAAAAAAAAAAAAAAAACAGCATTTTTGCTTGCACATGATTGGATGATGAAAGTCAGAAGAGCTTCTGCTCATTTACTCATTGCCTAATTGCCTTTAGTAAATCAACCCCATAGGGCTTTAATTTGGTAGCAAATTTGGATACACATGTTTTTATTACCTTTTTTTTATTCCTCTCATTGTTTTTCCCCTTTTTGGGTTTTATTGAGAATAAATAGCAAAAAAATTAAAAAGTAATGCAATTTTCTGTAATTTTTTTTAAATATAACATTTACGTAATTTGTGCACCCTCATAAATTTACCCAAAAATATAATCAACAAAGTCAGCTAATTAAAATGATTATACATTAATTATCAGTAGTAGTAGTAGTGTTACAGGCTAATATAATGCGCAAAGCTCAAAGTAAACACATGCATTTACTTTAGGACAGTTTTGTTCCTGTTTAATGTTACACTGCGGTGCATGCAGGGGAAAAAAACAGTTTGTGTAAATTGTTATTGTAACATTATAACAACATTAAGTTAAGTTGATGAAGGCACACATTAACATGATGGCCACTTTTTTATGCAGTCACTACAGATTTGAATGACCTTGATTCACTTATGTGAGCATTTGATGTTTGCTTCATGAACACAAATGTCATCCAGATCATCCAAAGTCATTGTTGTAACTTTTATGGGGAAAGAAATTTTTTTTTTTTGGCCTCATGCACATGGTCACTTTTGTCCACACAAACTAAAATTGGAGCATTTTTCTGTGCCCAAAATGTACAGGTGCTGCTATGTCAATGAATGGCTGTGCATGCTTGTACACCAGTATATGCCAATATTCAGGTAAAGGGGTATAGCATATGGGAGTATTCACTGAGAAATGAATGGCTGTAGGCCAGGGGTGCTCAACCTGTGGTCAGTAGGCCACATGTGGCCTTCGGAGCCCTCTGATGTGGCCGTCAACTTCAAACCAGGGAAGCGCATGCCTAAGGTCGGCAATCCGGTGATCACAATCTGGGCTTGCTGACCCACCATCCCAAACCATCAGAGTCCATCGAGCTGGTGCCGGCCTCAGAGGAAGCAGGTGGCTACAGAGAGAGCAGGAGCCACAAAAGCCGATGCTTCCTCTGTAGCTCTGGCTCCTGTCCCAGGCAGAGTGATACCAACTGCACTTCACCTGGGACATTTCTAGCAGCCTGGAGAGCTATGCCAGCAGAAGCTGGAGTAGGAAAAAAGGTCAGTGTATTAATAAACACATACACTGCTTTTCTGCAATGGGCTTATTAGCACCTATAAAAGGGTTAACAACTATTAGGCTGCTTTCACACTGATCTGCAGGTGCAGCATAGTGCACCGGCGGGTTTCATACAGGTTAGCTGCACTGAGCCATAGACTTTCTACTGGTGTAGCTCCAGGGAGCCCGTGTGGTCTCCCTGTCTCATCCTGTTTTACACTTGCAAAGGTGGGGCAACAGGGGTGGCATAAACAGTAACCGATCCTCTCCATTTTCCTCCTGCAACCACTGAAAGTGAGCTTCTCCTCCTTTCTTTCCCACTGACATTCAGCAGCTGCAGGAGGCAAATGTTCATTATGCTATTCATAGTTACATAGTTAGTCTGGCTGAAAAAAAATCCAGTTCAACCAAAAAAAAAAAAAAGTTATAATCCTATACCCACAGTTGATCCAGAGGAAGGCAAAAAAAAATTCAAAACAAAATAATCAATATTCTGAATTTCATTGTGGCCCGCGACCAGTTACCAAATCACTAAAGTGGCCCTTGCTTTTCAAAAGGTTGAGCACCCCTGCTGTAGGTGGCAGTACGTGGGGTTAATGGGGATACTTGAATAAAGATGCATATTTTGTACCCACATACACCTGCGCTCAACTATTCATTTCTACAAGTGGCTGCATGCTCCCTGCGCACTCCCAGCACATTAACAAGCAGGTATAGGAATGCTCCCGATGCATTTGCGATCGGGAGCTTTCTCATTGTGTAACTGCTGTGACTGCCAATCACAGTGGTCACATGATGGGAATGCCAACCTCTACCTCCCGCCACTTAGATCCTGTTAACCACTTGACAACTGGGCTATAGCCGAATGCAGCTACAGCACGTTTGTCCAGTTCTGGGAGGGCGTCATATGACGTCCTCCCAGAAACGCCCTCCCACCGCCCCCTGGGGGCGCGCGCACCCCGTGATCTCCGTGATCGCTGTGTCCTATGGACACAGCTGATCACGTGATGTGTGTGTAAAAGGCCAAACACAGCGGCCTTTTACCACATGATCAGCAGATCACCGGTAAATACAGTTGCCAGTTATCGGCTGCACTTTCCTTATGCTGTGACAGCGTGAGGAAAGTACTGCCGATATCTGACAATTGTCAAAGAACGGATCATCACCGATCATCAGGGCACTGATGATAAGTGCCCTGATGATCAGTGCCCAGCATTGCCACCCACCAGTGCTGCCCGCCTGTGCCCAGCAGTGCCACCCACCTGTGCCCAGCAGTGCTTAGTAGTGCCACCCACCTGTGCCCAGCAGTGCAATCCACCAGTGCCCAGCAGTACCCCCACCCATCAGTGCTTCCCAGCAGTGCCACCCATCAGTGTCACCCATCAGTGCCACCTATCAGTGTCCATCATTGTTGCATATCAGTGCAGCATCATCCCGCCTCATCAGTGCTAGCTCATTAGTGCCACCTATCAGTGCCCATCAGTGCTGCCTATCCGTGCCACCTCATCAGTGCAGCTCATTAGTGCCGCCTATCAGCCAGTGGCTAAATGGTTAGCACTTCCACCTGGCAGCACAGTGGCTAAATGGTTAGCACTTCCCCCTGGCAGTACTAGGGTCGATGGTTCAAATCCCAACCACGGCACCACCTGCATTGAAGTTTGCATGTTCTCCCTGTGCCTGCATGGGTTTCCTCAGGGTACTCTGGTTTCCTCCCACACTCCAAAGACATGCTGGTAGGTTAATTAGCTTCTGTCTAAATTGGCCCTAGTATGTGTATGTATGAATGTAGTTAGGGACCTTAGATTGTACGCCCCTTGAGGGTTAGGGACTGATGTGAATGTACAATATATATATGTAAAGCGCTGCGTAAATTGACGGCGCTATATAAGTACCTGAAATAAATAAATAAAATATCAGTGCCGCCTATCAGTGCAGCCTCATTAACGCACATCAGTGAAGGACAAAAATTACCTGTTTGCAAAAGTTTATAATAGAAACAAAGAAAAACATTTTTTTTCAAATTTTTTGCTCTTTTTTTTTTTTTTATAGCACACAAAATAAAACACCCAGCCGCAATTAAATACCACCAAAAGAAAGTACTATTTGTGTGAAAAAAATTATAAATAATTTCATATGGGTACAGTGTTGCATGGCCGTGCAATTGTCATTCAAAGTGCGACAGCGCTCAAAGCTGAAAATTGGCCTGGCAGGAAGGGGGTATAAGTGCCCAGTAGGCAAGTGGTTAAAGCGCTGGGAGGCGAAAGTGGGAGGGGGTTAACACTTCTATACAGTATATGCCTGTTAGAGGTATAGCACTGAGAGAGTGGCTGGAAATAGCTGGGTCCTCCTACCTGGGCTACTTGCCCTGTTATCACAGTATCTGCAGAATCCTGACAAATAGATTGCAGCTCAGCTGGCTCCACCTCAGCCATGTCTCTAAATTTAGCCAGGCCAGGGGTGCTACATAGGAAAAAGGTCCCTATGAACAAAAAGTGCTTTTTAATGAAAAGGTATTTTTTGTGAAATTGTACAGGGGCAATGTTAGGTGACTAGTCTATATGCAAATAGTGCTTAGAGAATTTCTTCGTAAAGACAAATATTTTAAAGTCAAAATTTTCTTTCAGTTTATATCTGCTAGATATATAAATCAAAATAAAAAGCTGTGTGTAAAGTCCTACAGTTTTTTTTCTTTCTTTAGAAAGCAGCCACAACTCTTGAATAGAAAACTTTATCCACTGCCAGCATGCTATAAAGAAAAACGTTTCTCACTGTGTGTGGAAACAGTTGCATCTCCCTGCAGACAGCAGGGCTACACTTGCCCTGCTGAATCAAACCTATGGTATACCTCTTCAACAGACAACTACTTCCACATAAAGAGCAAGGGTCCTCCTGCACAGCTTGCTGGCAGGGGACAGGATTTTATATTAAAGCTGAGGCTACTTTCTAAACAATACAAGCTGTAAGACTTTGTATACTTTTTTTTGATGCACCGGCAATCTACTTAGCTGGTTTAAACTGAAAAGTCAATTGAGCTTTCACTCATAGGAACTTTCACATTTATCTGTATATTTTGTCTAACCCATTTGCAACTTATAATGGGTTCTTTATGTAGCACCCTCCTAGTCAGGTGTTAGGATGTATATAGTTAGGTTAAGCATAGCTTTGTTTCTCCTCTTACCAGAGAGGCTGTCAGGTAATTCAGTCTAGTATTCTGCTTAACAGAGGGCTGTGATTGATTAGGTAGGTCTCTCATGATGCTCTGGTGTTGTTGGAGTATTTCTGAGTTCTGTTTGTCTTCAGGAAGCTGTGAGAGCCTTCCAAAACATGGGTAGGGGCTAGGCAAATGAACAGCATGAATATGGATACAGCCCTGGGAAAATTGCAGGGGAAGGCTGCCCCATTGAATTCTGGGAGTGTTATTTATATTCTGAGAGCACATGGGTTCAGTGTCTTTCCTGGGAGTGGATTGCACCAAGCCAGGCTGGAGGTAGGCTGCCTCGCCTGGCATTTGCTGCAATGTGGCCTCAGGTGGGTCAACCTGAGGACCTGAAGTTAGAGAGCGTGACCTTGGTTCCACAGTAAGCTGACTTGAGGGGAGCTGCCTGCCAAAGATCTGTATGGTATCACTGGAGGGAGCCGCTTGGAAGATTGGAAGGAGGCAACCATTCTGTCCTTGGACTTGTGAGTACTGACAATGAGAGATCTTGGGGACTCACAAGTCCAAGGACAGAATGGTTGGCTCCTTCCAATCTTCCAAGCTACTCCCTCCAGTGATACCATGCAGATCTTTGGCAGGCAACTCCCCCTCAGTCAGCTTACTGTGGGAACCAGGGTCACACTCTCTAACTTCAGAAAAGAGAAAAGGGAACACTGGCTAGTGTTCTGAAGAGCTTGTCCCCTATTGTTGCTACTGCAAAGGAAAACATTTGCTCAGCTACGTTACCTTTGGCCTGTCACAGTCTGTTGTAACTGGCCTATACCTGAGGAGCTTAACCCTGTAACTACTACTACTGCAAAAAGGGACTTTACTAATTTCTAAACCACTACAAGAGAAGTCTGGTATCTACTGTCAGCCAAGACTATATAAGTGTTCAACCAAGAGACCAGCTAGGCGTCCTCAGTGTGAATAGTTCTAATTTTGGAGTATCCTACTACAATTCCCTATCCCTATCCCCAGTTATAAAATCAACTCCAAAAATGTCTTAAGGACTCTTTTAAATCCGGCCCGCTAGACATCCCTAGAGTGATCATTGAAGACCACAAGCGGAAGTGTGTGTGAGTGTATTTGGCTGCAGAAATACATTGTGTCTGGCTGCGAGGCGAAGAAAGAGGAGCCCATGGAAAACATTCAAGCGGCTCCTTCAGGGGTAGCGCTACATTTTTTTTTACTGTTCTTACTTTTTAAAGTTGTGGAGTGACCTTTCTTTCTTTCATTCTTTTGATCTTGCTTCTATTCTTTCATTCTTTTCTTTTTTTCTTTTAATCTTTCATTCCTTTCTTTCTTTTGATCTTTTGTTCTTTCATTCTTCCTTTTGATCTTTCTTTCATGCTTTTGATCTTGCTTCTATTCTTTCATTCTTTTCTTTTTTTCTTTTGGTCTTTAATTCCTTTCTTTCTTTTGATCTTTTGTTCTTTCATTCTTCCTTTTGATCTTCTTTCTTTCATTCTTTTTTTTTTTTGGTCTTTCTTTTGATCTATCTATCTATCTATCTATCTCTATCTATCTATCTATCTATCTATCTATCTATCTATATCTATCTATCTATCTATCTGTCTATCTTCCAATTTGTACCTTTTTCTATTTCTATTATTTTATTTGCACCACAGTATTTCTGAAATCATTTTCAAAATGCCCTGATATTTATAGTGTGGAAGCATTTTATATATCATACCTGTTTTGTATGTACCTTTCAATTTGACATCTTGCTTTCTTTGCTTGCACATGGGTTTTCTGCCTTAGTAAGGTAATTCTATATGTAATATTACATTAATGTAAGTCATTGTTGCAGAGGCTTTTCTCTTTTTTTCACAAGGCTGAGCCAGGACTTTATGTTTTCCATAATTCTACATCCGGTGCGATATGACATCACTATACACAGCATGAAAACAGGCTGGATTCAGGGACTTGGAATAAAAAAATTTTCACAGAAAAGGGTTCCAATTGAATGCTTGTGCAGCATACATAATTAGTAGTACCCTGTGTACAAAAAGAAAGATATTTCCCACATTTTCTTTCTACACTAGTAAATGTACGTAGTAGATAGGCTCATACGTACACAACAGATGTATCTGTATTTTTATAGGCATGTATATATCCGTTGCATCATTCCATCAGAGCCCTGCACAGTTATCTAATGGATACTGTTTCCATAGAAACAATTCAATGTGTGGAGCCTGCTACTTCTCATGCAGAAAGACACAATTGCATCCTAGCCACTAACACCAGTAGCCCCTATAAGGAAGAGCAAACTGTTGAGCCACAAAGGCATCTTACCTGAATGATCGATTAGCCCACCAATGACAGAAGCTGTTCTCTACGCAGGGTGTGTCTAAGCAACTGAGTGACTAGGAAACATCGTGATCTAGATTCTGCTTAGTGCCCCCCAAAACCATTGCATCGTGACCATCAGAGCCAGCTCAGGCACTAGAACAGAGGACAGAGGATCAGAAGAACAGATCCTGCAACGCTAAAGAACTTAAGGCTAGCTTTCACTTGTCAGGTGAGTGCATATCCACAGCTACACCATCTTCTATCATATAGGTTGTGCAGTGTGCCATATGGTTTCTCTGAGATGCTAAGGACAAGTGCGTCTGCATTTATCCCTTCCATAAATATCTGATTACTATTCATATAAACCGTAACTGGGATATATTTCAGCATTTCAGAAAATCATTTCACATGCTACCTTCTCATGGATGAGGGATTAAAACAGGATGTCTCATCACTGGCTGGGCATCAAACATTCATTTTTCCTTTATACCATGAGGATATAGCACTGAAAAGAAGAGATAAATAGCATCAATGGCAATTCTATATTCTGTATTTCAATAAAACATTATATATATATATATATATATATATATATATATATATATATATATATATATATATATATATTAATGCACAAGGACGGGCATGTGTGTCTAGACAGCTACAGGTAGATAACGGCTATAGAATAACAAATGGTACTGACTTTGCTCAATGATTCTGCTGTGTATACACACAAATAAGAGACAGTGGCTCCTTTCAAAGGACCGTGTGGGTTTTCAGTGTGAATACCAGTGAGGGGGGTGACAACGCTTTGCAGGGGAAAGTGAGGCATATAAACACCCTCAGAATGCACTCTGGGAGCTCTGTGTGTACCAGGCAAGAGTTGTCATGGAAACCTCCTCAGCACCAGCTCACACTTACAGGACGGAAGATGGGGCTGATCCTGCATTGCTGAGAGGGAGGGATAGATAGAAAGAAAGAAAGAAAGAAGAGA